GTCATTCCCCTTGCGAACCCCTAAACAGAGTTTTTCCATAAGCAACCAGGTCATACTACACGAAAAGCAATGAGGGGAACCCTAAGTCCGTTCTTCCAGGTGGGTCTTTAACTCTCTTTCTATTGACTTCCAAGCTTGGAGCGAACCCTAGTAAAAAGATGATGAAACTAGGATTCCGAACTGTAGTGGTCAAACCTGGTGAACCGGACTGGGCAAACAAAAGAAGATATTAGGAATTGCATTATGTAAGAGAATTTGACTCATTTTCCGTATATATGAGATCACACTTTTGAAAAAAGAGACTAGGTCTCAGAGGGAAATTGAGGTTGAGGCCAAAAACACGGGTTTTTAGAAAGAATTCAAAACTACCCATCTATGGCATATGCGTTTAGAGCATATGAGTGAGAGGGGTTTGACAGAATTGAGCAAACGAGGTTTGCTAGGTGGACAGAAGACGGAAAAACTGGACTTTTGCGAGCATTGTGTCTTTGGCAAGCAGAAAAGACTCAAGTTCAGTACAGCTGTTCACAGGACCAAGGGCATTGTTGATTATATTCATTCAGATCTTTGGGGTCCTTCCAGAGTTCCCTCTCTTGGTGGTTCTCGATATATGTTGACTTTCATTGATGACTTCTCTAGGAGAGTCTGGATCTACGATGTGAGATCAACAGCAAAAGAAAGAAGTGGAGTTGGATAAGACTCAAGTTCAGTAGCAGCCCCCGGATAAGCCTTAAAAAAAACACACACACAATGGACCGGACACAAACAAAAGACAGAAGATAAAGGGCCATGATCCTATGTTCGTTTTCGTCCTTCCCCGAGACATGGGCAGAGTCCTTTATCTTTTCAGAATCTACTTACTGCGGAGAGGGAATTCCAACACGAGCATTTTCATTTCCTAACTCCCGTGAAGAAAGGGCTTACCCCACTGATAAATAAAAATCGACAAAGTCTCGCCTCTTCCTAGATCTGAAGCTTGACTTGAATTAAATAATGAAAGGGGTGAAGGCGCACAATGTGACTAGTTGATTGATTGAAGTTCGTTGTATACCTAGCTCCCAGGTCCTATAAATGAAGACTTGGGCCTGTCAAGCCTGATTTCCTCGATGGAAGCCCACAGAAGGGCCAAAGCACAACAAGAGAGCCTACCCATCATCAAAGAAAGAAAAAGCCTTGCAAGCCAGCTTAAGCTTCTGCCAGTGTTGACTTCTTTTTCTCTAGGTTTCATTCTCTTCTTTTTGATGATGGACAACCCCGGAGGCTTCTGTACATTCCATGTACTTGTCTTTTTAAACAGTCTTAAAAGTTCTCGAGTATCTATCGCGAGCCTTATTGAGAAGCGGATAGACTGAGTTGCCAATTGAGTCAGTTGCCAGAAGGTGATTTGGAAAACGCATTCCCCGATCCATTCTATGGATATATGAGGAGATTCTGAAACAACTAATGGAACGAAACTCTTAGAAACTTCATAGCGTAATAGCCTCCTTGAGGCTTTGCTGCAGACCTATCTCTACTAATTGGGGCTTCTTCCTCACCTGGTCTTAGATGATTGGAGTCTCTGCCTCAATGGAAAGGTAAATCTTACTCATTTGCTAATAGCTCTTAATAGAATGACTGTAGACCGGGCAAACAAAAGAAGATATTAGGAATTGCATTATGTAAGAGAATTTGACTCATTTTCCGTATATATGAGATCACACTTTTGAAAAAAGAGACTAGGTCTCAGAGGGAAATTGAGGTTGAGGCCCAAAACACGGGGTTTTTAGAACTTGTTGACTTTTTCGCACCGACTTAGGAGTGGAAAAGGGGGTTAGGCCTAAAATACGGGGTTTTAGAAGTTTTCAGAAAATAGACCCGGTCGTCAAGCTGAAATCTACGTTTCTCACTCCTTTTGTAGTCCATAGAATCGATCTCAAATCCTATCCCATGTTTCTAAATGTTCGATTTCTAAATGATTTAGCCTTCGGTTTAGGGTCGGAGAGAAGGAGCAAACAAAGTAGGGCATAGAAAAAGCCCATGGGGACCGGCTAGACGAGGGAAGAGCTAGGGGAGCCAAGCATTGATTCAAGTTCGGAGCTTACGTACGGATAGGGCAACGAAAAAAAGAAGCCAGCCAGGGGGATGCTTTGAGGACTTCGATCTAGAGAATTGGTTCGACTTGCATGTGTTAAGCATATAGCTGTTATCCCGTTTTCTTCACATTTCACTGAACAATGAACAGCAACAAAGCGATAGACGGATTCTGGCTGAATGGTGAAAGCCTTTTTTGATCGTAGGTTCGATTCTTGCTGGATGCACTTGGAACCTGAAGTTTGTTAACAGCTCCTCTTTCAGGTACTAAACGTAGAATTCTATTATTTAGACGTAGAATCCGATTCAAGAATCTTCCCCGTTTCTCCCTTTTCCTCTGAACAGCAAATTCAACCTGCTAGCTCTGTCTTTTGATCCGAGAGGTCGATTTTTCTATTGAGACTTTGTTAACTGCCAACTGCCTCGAGCCAATGTTTTCTTCAGAGGACTTCTCGATCGAAGATCCCCGGCTCCTTCTTCTGTTTCAGGGCGGCTTCTTGGCTTGCTGAGCCTCTAGGTATTCCATCCTTGGGAAAGGTTTGTTTGTAGTGCTCCTTGTTAACCCTTTGTCTCCCACATTTGTCATTTGGATTAGGTTAAGGCTGCTCCTTCTTTCATTTCAGATGGACTTTCACCCCTAGCCACAAGTCATCCCCGTATTTTGCCACATACGTGGGTTGGGTCCTCCAAGGCCTGTGAAAGCTCTCTTCAACCTGCTCATGGATAGATCGATCGGTTTCGGGATTCACAAAAGCGAAATGACCCCTTCCCCGAATTCTTTTCGGTTGTGAGACACATTTAAATTCAATATAAGTCCCCCAAATGCAAATAAAGAAAAAAACTAGAGGGGGGGTCAAACTTCTTGAATGAAAAAAAATGAATAAAATAATTGGAATCACCCTGAAGAGAATCTCCGGCCTGGCCCTACACAAATATGATCTAGGCATATATATCATATATGTGGACATATTGCATATCAAGAATGAAAAAATGCAGATATGGTCGAATGGTAAAATTTCTCTTTGCCAAGGAGAAGACGCGGGTTCGATTCCCGCTATCCACCCAGGATCAAGATATTTCATCGAATCATGTAATTAAGAGATTCTCCCTGTCCCTTGAACCAAATTCTTAGAGAAAAAAATGATTTTCGATAACTTCTTGATTCCTCTTCCCAGATTTATCGTTTATGAATTTCCTGGCGTAGTGTGAGATAGAGATAGGCATATCTCATTTTAATAATGACTGAACCAATGAACGAAAGTGGGAGAAATGGAACTTAACCCCTTTTTTCTTTTATGACGGACAAATCGCTCCCTGAACGAATCCTAATCCTATCCTTCGTATTATTTTTATTTAATATAAATAATATATTAATATCGATTTCTATAAATAGATTAGGCCGACGAGGGTTTCCAATACACTTCCATTCTAAGCTAATCGGCTGAGGGGTCGACTTACCCTATTTCTCTTGGGCTCTAAGCATCATTTGATCAAACCCCTTCAATCAGCCAGAGCGGCACTCCTAGCATCAAAGGATTTCAAAACAAAAGCATATTGCTCCGCTTTTGATGATAAAGGAGCTCCTAAAGTAGCTCCGGTATTAAGTTGAGAATCAAATCTCTCACTTTGTTCCAACTCTTTTGATTTCACTGCACTATTCCTCCCTGGGCGATCGAACCTATTCTTCGACTTCTTTTCTTGCACCCCAGGCACATAAGAAGGTGTATATTCTCTTCTCCCTATTCTGTACTTTCTCCAACTCACCCTCTTCTCGAACAAAATCCATTCGTCCTCTATGGCCATTGTAGTGAGCTTGTTGGTCTGTTCACGCCATCTTTCGTGGTATGTCCTATCGCTACCCCAACCAGAGGTTTGAAGCCCTAAATAAGGTCATAGAGACCACCAAGCAAATTCAACCCTTCCAATGTCTCTACCCTTGTCTAGCTTACGGATAGTGAGAGCCCTTCTTGTATGCGTGTCTTGCTGTTATCCCTGCACCTGGATTCCGAGCCAGCCATTTTCCTGTAGCGTTTAGCCCATTTCTCTGACCTTTAAGGAACGAGATAGCCCTATCTCGGGTGGTTTTTTCCTATCGCAGCTTCCATCGTTAGTTTGAAGAATTATTCCCTCTATTTTCTCAAAACTTGTACCCCATCTTCCTTCTTTGCCCAATCGTCAGAGGCGGCTTACCAGAGAGGGGGC